CTTGGCTTTGGTAGATTTTTCTTCTTTTCTCTCCTCTCCATAAAAAGGTTTTCATTGATAGAAACATCAAAGTTCGAGTAGTGTTCATAGTGTTCAAGCTTTGTCTGTCCACAAATGAAAAATTATAATGTTCAAAGCTAAATATAATGGGAAGGTCCAACCAAATCCCCGACTAAAAAGACTCCAAAGGAATAGCAGCAGCCCTTGGTGACAAGCCAACACACAACGCACCCAGCCTTTTATTATCCTTAAAGAAACAATTCCAAATGCTACCTTCCACCTCTCTTTGGATTTTTCTCTTGACCATTTTCTTCCCTGGACGTACTTTTACCCCTTCACATGGCCACATATCTCTGCCTTGTTAGACTTTGTAGCTCAGTTGCCTTTGTCTATTCCAACTTTAGTCATGCAGAATCAAATAGCCAGATGAATGAATTAAAATAATCATCTCAAGTCCTAGCTATGTCTTATATATATGAGCATATGCATTTTACTTGCATCAATCCCATAGAGGTTCCTCTTCATCTTCCAATGAGTGGAGATAGATTGATCCAATGATCATTCATCTGCTCATTACTCTTCTGCAAGAATGGTTCAGATAGTTGGAGAGAGCCAAGGAGATGCGGCAGGAGAAAGAGCTCTTACGGATGTTGCCTGAATCAAGGCAGATCAATGCAGCTATGCCTTATGTGCCATCCAGATTGCTTTCCACCCTGAACTCATGCTTCAGTCAGAGCTGCCTCTTAAGTGTACACTCAAAAGAGAAGCCAATATGCAGAGCAGGAATACCCAGTTTCAGGCCATTCAGACTCCAATATTGGAGAATTTATGGTCTAGAGACACTGTCATATGCACAACTGACTATGATGATATTTCAGATGTTACATCACTTCATCTGTGAAAAAGTTTTACAATGTTAGTCTATCTAGTAATCTTGTGGTTTCCTTCCATTTCTTCTCCATGGGGCGGTAAGAATATGGGAAAGGAAAAGTAGGAGCTAAAGAAAAAGAAAACAGAATAAGCAATGTAGCTACTGGCCATTATCTTATGTATCTTCAGCAACTACATAGCAATCAGAAAGGCGATTCCCTTGTCTCTTTCGAAATGCGTTCTCATCATAGGTAATGTTATCCAATTTGTCATCGTTCCCTTTCCTCTTTATGATTTTGGGAATCAATTGAGTTACTTTGTTGGCCTCTGACATAGCTTCCCCATTGTCTGTCCACTCAAAACGAACAGCACTAACCTTTTGAGCATTTGCAGCCAATACCTGCGCGAGGGACAACATTTAACTCACATTAATCAGTAATTCAATTGGATGCTCAAGATTTAGTCTTATTAGCCTATACAGTTATCAATGGATAACTTATTTTCCAGAAAAAATGTTTAAACTTGAGTGTTATACAAAAACGGAGCATATGAATTATTAGTATGAATTGCTAAGTTTCATTTAGCAAACTGAACCACCAAATGAAGCATCTCATAGGATGAGCAATATAAAAGCAGATTCCTATATGAATGCCCTCATAATAGCATTGATTTCAGAAAGTTACAAGTGTAAGAGACCGCATGATTGCTAGCAACATGCATTTTCTTTCCTAGTTTTTTTACTAAAATCCATTCAGTGCTTTTGCCCTACCTCAAGTCTATATATCTGATGCCATTCCTTCACATCTTGATGATCGGATCCATCTTCGTCATGCTTATCATCATCATCTTGATTAACCCTTTTGAGGGCAACTTTGATGCTCCCACCAGCCCTAGGGATGTATCCAAATACTTCACATACAAAACCAGATACTGCCTCACACTGATGTTCCTATAAACAGCGTGGTGAACAAAGAAACAATGAATAGAAATATGAAATTTAAAAGTTAAGGAACATTTTTATAGTTATGGAACATTTTGATAGTTATTTACAATGTGAGATTAACTGTGCCTTTATTTCAAAATGAATTGAAAACCACATTGCACTTTTAACTATTTACTTTATCCTCTCTCCTTTTTCTTTTTCATTTTTTTTTTCAAGCAGTGGTCACTTAATCACAAAGCATAATAATCCCACAACAGTCACAATAAACAGAATTTCATCCGCAACTGAGATCAGAAATATCAAGTTCATAAGCCTGGCTATTTTTAAGATTCCTATGATCAACTACCATGTGGCAGAGAATGAAATTTTAATGAGCCTGTGGAAATGGCAGGAGAAGTGTACAATACAGAAATAATCAAAGGTAGAAATGATCCTAATAACTGATTTTTTAGCTTTAAAGTTCAAATACTCCATTCGGTGCTCTATACACCATAACAATGAAAACTAGGAAGAGGGCGGAATAATATACCTCTGGCATTTTCATATTCAAGTCCTCAAATAGCAAACAAATACTAAATAGAGGTATTGGCATCACCATAACAATGAAAACTAGGAAGAGGGTGGAATAATATACCTCTGGCATTTTGATATTCAAGTCCTTAGATAGCAAATAAATACTAAATAGAGGTATTGGCATCAACATCATATACTCCCTCTGCTCTCATTGCAATATAGCCAGTTTTCTTCAGGATCTCCTCCTGTTAATACTTAATACAATTAGTAGCAAATGCATAAAATAAGAATAACTTGAGAATCATTACATATATACGTATAAATGTATCACTTAAGAATCAAGTAGAGCTGAACCTTGTAACACTAATTGATATGAGACCTATAGAGTAAAGAAATATCTACATGACATGAAAAGTGACATGAAATTCTTTGGTGACATGGAAAATACTGACAAAGTACATGCCAAACTAAATGAGACCAGAAGCTGACGAAATAAAGCTGCATCTAGATCAATTGGTCTGTAAAAATTTAGTAGCACATGTATAACAACAATTTGTTTAGGACTTCATCAACAAATTTTCTTAGCATCCCCTTGCTGAGGAATAATAGAATGCAATATCTAAAGTTATCTATATGGTTAAAAGACTTGTCCCCAACAACAGATTCCATAACAGAACAGTAAGGTCATTAATTATGTAATTAGGCCTACCTTCGAATCATTTTCATCAAAGACTTCTCCAACAATCTCCTCAACCACATCTTCTAAGGTTACTATCTGCTCCATCAAAAATAAGTACGCAAATATATAAAATCAATCAGTCAATAAAATGAGTGCAAATATTGTAAAATAAGCAATCCAAAAGGGAAAGAAAACATAGTATTGAAACCTAAAACACCAATTCTCTGACTCAAAGGCCCTACGGTCTCAAAGGATCCAGCTCATTGATCATTACCACCTTCCCATTATCATAGAGGTAGAGGGAAAAACACCACATGATAAACAACCAGCCCACCCACCTTTTGATTACTCTGCAGTCTATTAGAGTTACCCAAAATGATTTCTTATTTGTTCTTATCTAATTGTTTACAAAGGAAGCACAAAACTTTGTAACAGTCAACTCTACAACTCAGGTGCTAGCTTAAAGAGATTTATCCTTAAGCAATTTAAGTATTTTACCCTAATTGACTACAAATTCACAATGTGTTACATACAAGCACAAATAGAAGCAGGCAAGGAGGTTGGGTATGTGGGACACATAGAGGGGATAGAATTTTTATGTACATACAGTCATTACTCCAGTTGCGGCACTAACACCAGCTTCTCCAAATATTGCTGTTGTTGCATCTGTCACTAAAGCAATTGCTCCAATATTGACCACCCTAGTGACAAAAAACAGAATCTAAAAATAAATCACACACCAAAGTTAAACATAGACACATAGAACTGGATCAGTTAAGTGATTATGGGAAAGATTAGTACGTAGTGCCAATAACAATGGTGGTCAAAAATTGGGTTACATCACTGCGAAGCATTTGAAATACACCATCTTCAAACTCTTTTTTAGCCAGCTCACGAACCTGACACAAATTAGCATCAAATCACCAATGAGACCGAAGTTTCTTGATGGCTTGGTGACATTAAAAAAAAAAAAATCATGTTCTTCCATAAGTTAATATGAACCACATGAGAATATAAGAAACCAGAATCATCCTCAAAACCAAACAAGAAAACAGTAATACTGCTGCATGAACTTCACTATCAAGAACTGAAATAGCAGATCAGATTAATCTTTGCTAAACTTAACCCAATATTTAAGTCAGCAAATGCCATTGCACAACAACCACAAACTTCATATATTTATCTAAACCATACTAAAATTCAGGTTTAAATTGCTATTCACTAATTATAAGAACCATCAATCTTCAAACCAACAAAGCAAACCTTCCATGGCCACAGTGTAGTTATAAAGTCTCTTCCATGAGAAGAATGCAGATAGACATAAAAGTGCAATCAGAATCACACCTTTCTCTTTGAAAATATTAAGAACCATAGAAACCTTAGGCCACGCATTCCTCAACAACAATGCCCACTGCTCAATCACTCCATACCCTGCATTCACCACTCCCTCCACCACAAGCACTCTCTTGCACGCGAAAACCAAAAGACAATAAAGCATTGCCCCAATAAAGACTCCTTGCTTCAGCAAAATCTCAGAGACTCCAAATCCAGGCCTAAAACCTCACCTTGGTCACCACCTAGATCATTTTTTTCTTCACTTAACGATCTCAGATGAGCTCTACTGCCAACAATGCCAGGTCTCCGCAATATCAAACT